ATTTCCAATTTAAAGCGTATTTGGCAATGCAAGATTTATGGTTGTGCGGTTCCATCTTACATGCTAAGTCCACCAGTCGAATGAGGTCCAAATAAATTAAACAAATAGGGTTTGGGTTTTTGTACTGGGAAATTTCAGAGAGCATAACCGTCATCATAATGAAAATAAGATAGAAAGATATAGAAGAGATACTCAATACTCAGCTCAAGGAAGTGCTAAGCGGCAAATCGACTGCTTGCAGTGGACCACCTGTCAATCATTCAATTATTTGATTATAACTCTTTAATGAATTGTCCGATTTAAAAAATCTTTTTGCTCTTCCAAAGGTACACTCATAAAAATAATTTTCTACATTTTAGAAAATCACCCTAAAAAAATTTTCGCCCTTGAACTGAGAAAAATTTTCTATTTTCACGACAAATTTGCCATAAATTCAAGGCAGGTGACCATAAAAAAATATTTTTAGGGTTAATTTTTCTATTTTTCTAATATTTAGGGCGATTTTTATCGATTTGCTTCGTTTTTACCTTTTCTAAATCCAACGGCGAATTGCCCTAGTTTTTTTTCTAAAATTTTTCTAAATACAAGGGCGATTCGCCTTAAAAATCACTCCAAAAGTGTGAAATTCGGTAGCCCAGCGGTCTAATCACTTGCGCTTTCAACTTTGCTATATGAGGACTAAGGTCGTGGGGTTGTGGGTTCGAACCCTGTGTGATTCAACTTGATTTTTATGTTGTTTTTTTTTTTTTGTAAACATTATAATACTGAGGACATTTTTTTGTCCGAATTTTAAATTAAAGTAGTCTTTAAACCTTAAAAACGTATGGGAGTTCTGAGTTAAAAGCATACTTTGTGTTTGCGCGTAAGCAAACGGGACTAATTGTCATTTGTTCGTCGTCTTGCGCGATGGGTCTGTGGTGCAGCGGTAGGACGTTAGACTCTAAACCGAGAGGTCGTGGGTTCGATTCTCGCAATGACCAAAAAAAGTAAGTTGTTTTTTCTCCTCATATTTATTTCCCTAATTCATTTACAAACATGATTTTTCAGTTCTAACGGCTGTGCTGTATAGATCGGGCCCCCCTCTTAACGCGGCTCCCATATAAGCTACACACCAATACAATAATATGAAACGGTGTCCTCCGCCGGTGTTGTTTAATTAAAGCAGTCCCAGTTCCCAGAATATAGACGATTAAAAAAAAACATGCTTCCCAAATTCAGTTATGCATGCTCAAACACGATTTTTTTTAATTTGTCTAATTTTTTAGGGCATTCGCCTATAAAAACAGAAAATTCGCCCCTAATTTTAGAAAAATACACCTTAAAATTAGGGCAAATCACCCTAAAAACAGGAAAATATTTCTTATTTCAAGAAAAATCACCCTAAATTAAACAAAATTTCCATCGGGATTTTTTAGAAAATTTTTCTAAATACACGGGCGAATCGCCAGCGGATACGATTTATGGGCGATTTTCTAAATCTACGGGCGAAAAGTCAGTTTTTTAGGGCGATTTAGGGTAAAAATTTCTATGAGTGTATTGATAAACATATAGAATATAGATAGATATATCGATGTATTGAAAATTTAAAAATAGCTTATTATTTCCATTGTGTACGCTCCCTTTACTTCATTGCACTCTTAACTGCAAATCATACATCATCATAACAGCAACTGGCCTCAAAAATGCTGAGCATGAAATATGTATTTCCAAACATTTTCGGTGCCCACCATTTTAGAATTAGCACAATTTGCGCCGGGCTGCAAAACTTTGGCAATGGGGAAAAAAGCAAACAAAAAGTTAATTAAAACAAAAATTACGGACAGTGGTCGGTGGTCGGTTGTTGTTGCTGCTGCCTGTGCCTGTGCCTGTGCCGCAGCAGCATTAGCAGTGCAGCCGAAAAATCTGCGCGCCATCTAAAACAAAAATTAATTTTTGGGCCAGGGAAAGTTTTTATTTTGCTTCTATTGTTGTTTTTGTTGGTATTTTGGTGCCCAGGCGAGAGTTTGCATTGTTTTGCATATTTTATACGGCGGAAGTGTGTACGTCCCGCAATGGCAAAGGCACTCGCCATCATTCGCCCCAAAACGCGAAAAACAGAAAAATAAAAAAAGGGGGAAAAAGTGCAGGCAACACGCAAATTATGCAGGCGCATAAGACAAACTTTCTGTTTTGCGGATTCGACAACCGGCGAAATGAAAATTAATACGAAAGCCAAAATGCGAGGCACAGGCACCCTCACATATATCGGAGATCCACAACGGCATCGGCAACTGGAGCACGACTGAGTAATTAAAAATGCAACCAACGGGCAAAGCGGAAAATCCCCGGCAATTGTACTGGAGAAGATAATATCGGACATGTTCTCCAACCAGAAATTTGGGCCTCTTTTACGATATTTATGGACCTAGACAATAGAGTTTAGGAGCTTAGAGAGCTTAGGCCTTTAAAAGGGAAATAATATAATTAATATATATGTATAAAGAATAAAGACTCTCAAAAAATAATCCAGCAGTACATTTAAGTATTTTTCATTTCCATAGAAAAGTCCTATAAAAAATATATTAAAAATATTTTGTAAAAATAAACATAATAGATGAAAAAAAATTTAATAATTGAATAGAAAACCAAGTGAAATATTACAAAAAATACTGTCTTTTGAGTTTTCTACTTTGTTCCAGTATTTTTAAAATTTTTTTAGCGTCTTAGGTATTATTTTAATCCATTTTTAAGGTGATGGAGTTCTCAAACTTTTAGTTACCCAGGTTTTTTGCGGGTAAATCACACAACAATGGGCAATGGGCGAGTTGCAAACACTATTGAGATAGGTTTTGCCAGGACATGTTGTTCCTCTTAGAATGCAAAGTCCAAACATTCCCTGTTTGCGTCTGCAATCTAACTGACGGGATTAAATTCTTAATAAAAAGAAGTAACCATTAACTTACGTATATACTTTTGTCTACACTCAGAGTCTTTAGGGGCGAGCAGTAGAAGTAAAGCAAGAATATAAAATATTTGTAAGGTAACCATACTGGCTCAGATCGTAAGCAGATGTGACATTTTCTTTTTTAGTTTTAGTCGAACAACTGTGAAAAAGTTGTATTAAATAAATTAATCAACTGTGGGGAACTAATCAATAAATCTTTTATTTCAAAAGTTTATGTTAATTCCTTAATTTGCACAACACGTGGTGGAGGATATGCAATATCTATCCTTATAGCGACGCAGATTACATTTCTTATGAGAGGGGATGCACCGGCCCCATCCTCGTTTTCCTCTGCAGACTAAATATAAGTTTTATTTATTTTATTTGAGCGCAAAATGTATTACTTACAGGCTGAGATTTGAGAATTAGATAATATGAGCTGCAATAGCAGGATTATGAATATGAAGTATTTTTTGTACATTCTATATTCAAGTGAGCAGTTTTCTTCTCCAACCCAAACATCTAAAAGAGATTGTTGGTTTTTTGCACTTTTCCAAGCTGAAGATAATTACAAACCGTTAAGAATTTTCGATTTAATGCTTTAGTTATGCAATAAAATCATAATTTAGTTTATTTCAACTAACCAATAAATCTTTTATTTTAAAAGTCTATTTTAGTTTGTTAGTTTGTACAGCAAGAGGCGGCCCCGCAAAATTTGTCCCTATAGCGTCGACCATTGCATGCCATATTATTGGAAACGCAAGTGCCCCATCCTAGTTTTCCCCTGCAGACTGGATACAAATATTATTTAGAATATTATTTTCGAATATTATTTTCGCATTGTGACTTACAGACTGGTCTTTGAGCACTGGATAACATGAGTTGCAATATCAGGAATACAAATATTAAGTATGCCTTGGACATTCTAGATTCAAACGTGACGGTTTCTTCTGCGACCAAAATATTTGTGACATTTTTTCGTAATTTCCGAAGCTAGAAAAAGTTACCAACCGTAAAGAATTTCCGATTTTTTGCTTTAGCTTTGCATTAATGACGAAGTCTGTGACCATTTGAGTATATGATATAATTAAAACTGATTTTCACAGGTCAGTAAAAGTGCTGTAAAATTTGTGTCAATGTGAAAGTAATGTGCAAAAATGCAAACGAATAGAGCAGTTGCAACAATTTTAAAGCAACTTGAAAAGTTTTAGTCACAACTTAAATTAACTGTGGGAAACTAATCAATAATTCTTTTATTTCCAAAGATTACATCAATTTATTACTTTGCACAACAAGAGCAGGTAGCCCCGCAAAATCTGTCCCTATAGCGTCGAAAATTGCATGGCTTATTATTGGGTACGCATTCGCCCCATCCCCGTTTTCCTCTGCAGACTGGGTAGAAATATTGTTTAGAATATTATTTTCGATCGCAGGTTTGTGACTTACAGACTAATTTTATAGCACTGGATAACATGAGTTGCAATAACAGGATTACAAATATTAAGTTGGTTGTTGACATTCTATATTCAAGTGTGCAGTTTTGTTCCACAACGAAAACATTTGAGAGCTTGTTTTTAGCAATTTCCTAAGGTGAGAAAAATTACAAACCGTTTAGAATTCCCGATTTTATGCTTTAGCTATGCATTGAAAACAAAGCTAATGAAAATTCAAGTATATGATATATTTTAAACTGGTTTTCACAGCCCGCTGAAGATGCTGGAGAAAAAATGCGAAATACGCTAAATAAAATCAACAAAAAAGCTATATCGGGTTTGGGTTTGTTGCCTTTGTTTTTCGAGCCGGCGACAATCAGAAAAGGCAAAACCAGCCCCCATCGGTATTTTGGTTCCCCCATCGCCCCAAACTCGCCCACATCCACATCGATCTCGCTGACGCTGCGAGAGATCTCTTCAGTTACTCGAGACGATCGCGCGACGCACGACGCATTCCGCACTCTGCCTAATTTTCGTGATTAATTTCGGAGAGCGGAGACGTATTATAATAGAACCCATGTTCCAATCTGTAACCAGAAAGCCTTACAACACGTTTAATCATTAAAAAGCGCATGGATATTTCTTCTTGAAAGTACACAAGGCCTTGGTGTTTTAATCAAAAATTAGGTCAAGTGCATTGTTTGCGCAACACAGTGACCTAAAAAGTTGTAAAATCTATATCAATGTGAAAGAAATTGGCTAGAAACGGGCAAGACAAAAACATATGCACACGAATAGTGCAGTTGACACAGTTTTAGAGCTACTGGGAAAGCCAAAGAAAATAAATAAAAAGGAACTGAGTAAGTGATTGTTTTTAATAAAAAATTTAGATATAATATTGAAACTAGAACTTAAGGCAAACATTAAATAAAGAAATTGTATTTTCCTTTTTTAAATTTATAAAATTTAAATTTTCTTGTATCTTGTATTTTGTCTAAACATTGAACAGTGTCAAATCATTTTTAAAAAATATATAAAATAATTTAAATGCTTGTACAACAATAAATTAAAAAAACAAAACGCATGATTTTAAAACAAGTTTAAGCACTTAAAATTAAAATGTAATTCTTGGTGTAAGAAAATAATTTACATTATTTCTACATGTCGAGTAAAATCATACGCGTGGTAATGTTGGCTTCATTTTGTAAAAACTCCTTAGCAAGTAATGAATAGGTTTGGATTTAAACAAAAAACTTTAAGTGATGTATATTAATATTTTAAATTCTATTCAATTTATGTTTTCATAAAAAAATAGCACAAATTAATCAAAGTAACGGACCTAATAATTTATCTACACGTCGACGTCAAGTAACATTTTTCCCACTATCTGGCATCACTTAAAAAGTACAAAGTGGGTGTTTATTTAAATATATTTAATATTGAAAATGGTAATTTTTTTATTTACATTATTAACAATTAATAAGTAAAATTGTTAAATCAAATATTTTAACATACATACCTTGTTTTTGATACTTATGAAATTGGCTATGATCTGGAAATTAAAAAATGCATTAAAAAATCTTAAATGAAAGAATATTAAAAAAATAATACCGTCAATTTTATTCAAATGAAATATTTTGTATACAAACAATTTATTTTAACCAATTAAACTATTTATAATTTGAAAATATTTTTTGTACAGTATTTTTTAGTGTATTTTTAACATCAACCCAAAATGAGTCAGTCTTGTATACCCGTCAGCGCAAAGATGTCGAAGGCAAAGAAAGTTTTAGATGAAGCACGAGAAACCCAAAACCGGGAGTTGGATCTGGTGGACAAGGGGCTGTCATCCTTCGAGGAGTTGCCCGGGTTGTGTAAGTATCAAATTTGAACTATTAAAACTATGTTAAAGGGTAATTTTGCAAAACTGAGTCAAAAGACTGCAGACACTCCCACGCAAAATCGCCCATATGTTCAGAAAAACTTAAAATTAGTAACGTTCTTGTGTACTCTCATCATTTAAATCATTCGTTGGTAATTATATTATTATGTAGAAATTACATCGCGGTTTTAAAAGGGAGGCATTCAGTTGTATTTATTGCGATGACGCCAGCACCAAAATAGAAATCAACCCATGCACAAGATGTAAACAAAGCCTTCACAAAACATAAATGAGAAGCCGCAGGAGTGTTTAAAGATTATTTACTATGTCTTAGTTAATTCTTTTATTTTTATTTAGTTTCTATTAAATTAGTAATGCTAGAAATATTTATTATTTTCCTTGAATTATCAAATTTTGTCAAAAGAACATTGCGCACGCCTATGTTTATATAGTTGTCCCTCTCTAACATCCAGCGTCTATACTTGTTGCGTGCAGTCAGCTGTTTACATTTGAACCCAGTGAGAAATTTACTGCGAATAAAAATATTTATTAAATAATCGTTAAATTATTTGAATGCACTGTAATATAGAAAACTTTTTTTATAAAATCTGTTTATATTTTTATTTAAAAATTTTTATAATAACTATCTTTTTTCCAACAGTCAACATGTCCAATATCACTCGACTGACCCTGTCCCACAACAAGATCAGTGTAATTAGTCCCGGAATCGCGAACCTGTTGAATCTGGAGATCCTCAACCTTTCGAATAACCAGCTGACGGAATTGCCCGTTTCACTGTCGTCAATGCCCAAGTTGCGAATCCTCAATGTGTCCATCAACCGATTGATTAATCTTCCTCGGGGCTTTGGAGCCTTTCCCGTGCTGGAAGTCCTGGACCTGTCGTACAACAATCTGAACGAGCAGGTGCTGCCTGGAAACTTCTTCGGAATGGAGACATTGCGCGCTTTATATTTGGGCGACAATGACTTTGAGTATATCCCGAAGGAGGTGGGCCAGCTAAAGAATCTTCAAATCCTTGGACTCCGGGACAACGATCTCCTGGAGCTTCCCCGTGAAGTTGGAGACTTGGCGCGACTCCGGGAGCTACACATTCAGAACAATAGGCTGCAAGTCCTGCCCCCAGAAATTGCCCAGCTCGACCTGCTGAGCAACAAGTCGGTGATGAAGATGGAGGAGAATCCCTGGGTCAATCCCATTGCCGAGCAATACCTGCTAGGCATCAGTCACGTGATTGACTACCTCAAGACGGAGACGTATAAAATGTGAGTTTTAACAAAAATTGAAAATCTTAAAGAGCGTTCTTAACTAATCATGTTATCCCCTCGACAGCATCTACAACCGTCATTTGCAGGCTGGACGTAGTGGTCCTCCGCCGCCCAAAGCCGACAAGAGCAAGAAGGCCTCAAGAATTCGCGCATAGTTGTCTTCAGTCAGAGGATCCCCCCGAAAGAATGTGTTCGTCTCGTTCGTTGTTAACCAAAACCGTTTTTGTATACTAATTTATAAGTATTTGTAAACTAATGTGTATTTTCGCAAAAGTGCCTTGACTCTTTTTCTCACTAATTAAAATCAAAGAATGAAATTAAACGTTTTTTGGGGGTGCAATTGGAGTTCATCTTTACCCAATCATATTTTAAATAAACACACATTCTTTTTATTTTATAAAATAGTAGGTTTTCTTGTTTTTATTATCTTTTTCTCATATTCATTCATTCTTTTTTAAGACATTTTTTCATAATCATAATTAATTAGTTTACTTAAAGTCAATTAATTAATTCTTTATTTATTTTATTTAAATTAATAGTTAAATGTTTTTTGTTTTTGTTCTTTGTTTGCTATGTTGTTTGAGAAAAACCAAAAGCATAGTTTTGCTTTGTTCGCTTTGAGTTTTGTTTCGTTTCTTTGCATTTTTCACTTTTCAATTTGAATTGAATACATACTTCATATATCAATTTATGTAATTTAATTATTTTGTAAACTTATTTTGCGTTTTCTGTATATGCAATTCAATTTTAATTTATTCCTTACAGTGTATTTTAGTATTTATATTTATATATATTTTATAGAGTCTATTTACAAGAGTTTGAAGATGTTCATTTACGTAGAGTGTTGCATAAATTCCAAATAAAGCTACCACAGAACACGGGATTGAAATACATTTTATTAGCAAGTTTCTCTAGCTGAGAAATATAAAAACGACATGCTTTTAAAACCAATTTGAGAAATCTCTATGGTAAACCATTCAAAATTTGGATATAAGGAAGTGAACACAAGGATTCCAACGAAATTATCAAATAGCTTCCATTCTATAAATGTCTTTTCTTGGAGTAGTGCATCAGTCGGGACTCCGTGAGTTGCACGATTCATCTTTGAGCATGCAAGTTCGAAACACGCAGACAAAAACAAAAAACATAAACTAGTAACCTATGAGACTACAACAAAGTAAATTACAAGCACACGTAGGCTGGAATATGCACGACCTACGCATTATAAAATAGTACATAAAAATAGATTTCAATGTTGGCAGATATACACGTACTTGATAGATAACATTAAACATAATCAGTGGCGGTCTTGCTACCAGATTGCTAAAACATAAAGCTTTAAACCTAATACTAATAAAAATTGACAATAGAAAATTGTACCTAAGATAGTAAAAATACATGAAATATAAAAATTAGTTACTTCGTTTGCCTTTTTCTGCACAAGGAAAATGTATACGGAAAACAATCAAAGCGACGTTCAAATATCGTACAGAAAAATGCGTATAGCAACAAACTAAAAGGATTGGGTTGTTTCCACCATTATTGTTAAGTCTCGCTTTTTCATTAAATATTTATGGTTTTTATACTTTTTGGTTTTCATGGTTGTTTGCTAGTTTACAAATGCAATTTTGACGGCTTTAAATAAACGTTTAGCCTTCGGTACACAGATAAATACAATTTAAATGCTTTGTTGTTTCCGTTCTTTTTGTTGATGACGCTTAATTAATTCGCACTGTTTTTATTTCTTTAATTTTTTTGTACAAAACACATTTTTGTGACTTAAGTGTGTAATTAATTTTGTATTCATGCTTAGCGCTTAGAAATCTCACCGACATATATAGAATGCTTTACTCATACAATTAAACCTTAGTTTTTCATTTCATGTATAATATTTGTTTGCTGTGGCTGCTGCTATTTCATATTTGTGTATGCATAATAAATATATACATACAAATGTATATATCTACCTTTCGATTTTATATGTATTATGAATGTTGCCGCTTTTAATTATTTATATTAATCATAATTCGCATTCGTATTTTCATTTCAATTTATTTAATCAAAAATATCATTCACTTTTAGCTTTTTCTGTATTACGAAAATTGTCTCCATTTTTTTTCTTCTCTTTTTTTCTGGCGGTTTTACCTTGTGGCATACAAACATTGTTTAAATAAAAATAATTAGCATAAAAATTACATTTACATTTAATTTGAGTTCATTTGATTTATGTTGTTTTTGCTTTTGTTGCTGTTTGGGCTGTGTTGTTTGCTGATGTTGTTGCTGCTGTTGCTGCTGCTTGATGCGCTTTGCCTTTGGCCTTTTATGGCGCTCCATAGCTTTTGGCTGTCAAACTTTGCTATTGTTGGGCGCCCGGGTAGTGGATTCATATTGGCCCCGCCCCAAGGCCGCATAGGCATCGGCGTAGGCGTGTTGCTGCTGTGGCTCCATTTGCTGCTGCTGCAGAAGATGTTGCTGCTGCTGTTGCTCGTGCAACGATGTCGGCCGACTAAAGCTTACTTGTAGCGGCGGCGGCGCGACGCCTAATAAAGGAAACAAATTTAATATTAATAATAATAACTTCAGGTGTAAATTCACATTGGCATACTTCATTAGTTGTGTTAGTATTTTCAGTAGATCATAAGCATTTTATAAAATATTGTTTTCTAATTAATTTCAAGAACTGAAATAAGGAAAATAAACAATTTTATAAAATGCTTTTTATATGATTTTATAATAACAAAAATTAGGTTAAACAAGGATTAAATATAGGTATGTTAATAAAACCATTTCATTGCACATGCAAAAACATAACAACAACAATACAAATACATTATCCATAAACGGAAAAGGGGCAACTACAAAAGTTAGAGGAAATCAGGATAAAAGGACACAGGCCAGGGACAAAAGTACATCCAAATATACAAAAAAACAAACCAAAAGAGGAGCAAACGTAAAGAACTGGGTAAAAATCACATAGGTCATACCAATTGCTTCGATTAAATGAAATATCATTTTGATTTCTTTTGATTTTCGTGTTTTGGTGGTGGATGGGAAGCAACAACTCATGGATCGATGACTAGCAGCGGGCGTATTTGTTTGGTTTTCGGGAATTCGGGGAGTCTGTCTTTCAGTGTTTGTCTGTATGGCAATGATGGATGATGGATCCACTCCTAATAAACGATATTCCGGCGCACTGGCTTCATGGCCTTCTCCTTGCTGCTGCTGCGACTGCTGTTGTTGGTCTGCTGTTGCGACTTTTGCGACTTTGAGTCTTTGGCTTTGGCACTTTTCCCGCTCTTGCTCTTACTACTACTGCCCGCCCCCGATCCCGACCCACTGCCGGCTGCCGCGGTGGATGAGTTGGTGGTTGTGGTGTTGTTGGAGGTGGTGTTGTTGGTACGTGATGATCGGGACTTATTGCGTGGTGGTAGTTCTGAATATATATTTTTTGGCGTTTTGCAAACGAAAAGAAAAACGACAAATTAAATTTGTGGAAAAAACAATGGCGGGAAAAAGGGTGAGAAGAAAATGAGGAGCAAAACTAGCGACTCAGGGCTCACTCTTTATATTTTTTTCTAAGAGGAAAAGGGGCACACACACCTTTCGGCGTGTAGAACGCTTGCTGTGGCTGTTGCTGCGGCGAAATTGCCGGCTGCTGAAGTTGTAGATGTTGTTGTTGTTGGTGCTGTTGCAATTGCTGCTGTGCATTTGGCGGCGGCAATGGCAGCGGCAGCTGGGCCCGAGCCACCACACCGCCGCTGCTAATGGCCGCCTGGACACCACCACCAATGGAACCCGGTATCGCCTGCTCGGCGGCTCCATACCCGCCATGTGATCGCGCCGCTCCTCCGCTGCTTCCGCTGGCCGCCGTCGCCTGTGGTCGCCCACTGCTGGTGGATCGTGGGCCCCGGCCATCACTTCTTCTCGCCTGATTCGCCGCCGAGTTGCGACTCGAATGGCTGCCACCGGTGGGCAGGGGAACGATCGAGTGACCACCCTGCTGGCGATCCCAGTCGTGCGGATGTGATTGGTGGTGCGAACGGGAGCCACCATGGCTACGACCTCCTCCTCCTCCGCCGCCGCCACCGCTACGTGGATAGTGCTGCGCCTCATGGGCCGGTGGCGGGATGCTGCGAGGACCTGCTCCTCGCTGATTGGGATGACGTTGCTGCAAATATTTCAATTTAAATTATATAATTAACAAAATAAAATAAAAGCTAGCCTACCATTCTTCGCAACGTATTCATGGGAGCTCTCAGCGTTTCGCTGATGCGACGAGCTCGCCGCTTCTTCGGATTCGAACTGGGCGTGTGAACGGCACAGCACTTAATGAACGAGCCCATGACCACGATGAAGGCCACGCCCATCAGAACGACCAGATACCAGTTGTCCACGATCCACTCGGCGACCGTCTGTAGGGTCTCGCGGTTGAGCAGCAGATTCTTCAGCCGCACCAGCGGCCCATCGGCGTCGACGGCGCGACACTTGAGGAACACATCGCAGTAGCCCTGGAAGTTGTCGCACGGCGAACCGGGCTGCAGGCTAATGCCACCCTTTTGAATATTATATTTATCCGCAAACTCGCTGGTGCTGCGGCAAGTGGTGGTGTCGTTGCCATCCTGACAGGCCAAGTCGCACAGTTTGCGCTTATTCACATGCGGCAGCGTCGTCGAGGTGAGGAAGCACTTGGTCATATTCCAGAGCAGGCAGGGCGATCCACTGCATTCGCCGCGGATGCACAGCGCCGTTCCATTGTTGCACATTGTCTTGTCATCGCGATGCCGCGGCTCCGGACACTCGGCGGTGGTTCCGTTGCAGGTGCTCGACCAGCTGCATTCCGTCTCCTCCTTGCACTTCTGGTGGTAGCTCGTGGGCACAAAGGTGCACGAGTTGGACAGACAGCAAGGACCCTGCGATGGCGAGCACTGTGTCTTGGCACGGCGCGTACAACCCTTGGCACTGGAGTTCAGCGATTGATCGTATTCGCTGATGAGACGCGGATAGCAGCACTTGTCCTTGCACTCCTCCTCGTTAAATCCACAGTCGCATTCCTCGCCAGACTCTACGATCTTGTTGCCGCAGAAGGCTCCCTCCGAGGCCTTGAAGCAGTCCCTTTTTGAGTTGCCCACGAGGACGTCCAGAACGTTTGAGATGTTCCTAATGGAGCAGGGCGAGAACTTCGAATTGTTTGGCCTATCACCGGAGGTGGCACTGGCAAACATAATGTAGTTGCCATTAAGGCCTCCAGGGCGACACTCCTGCGGGTAGTCGTGCTGGGGATTTTAAAGAAATAAAATAATAAGTTTAAGGGATAAAAAATATTTAAGGAATATAAAAAACTCACAGGTGATCCAAAGTTATGACCTATTTCGTGGGCCAGAGTTAACTGGGAAACCTTCGGTGGCACCCGGCTATTGTAATTAACAAAGGTAATAATGCCCGTATTAAGGGATCTCTTGGTGCTCTGATACTGTCCGCCCACTGTCTCCGTGTAAGTCTTGTATTTTTCACAAATTCCTCCCGAGGCTCCCGAAGCGCTCGCCACCCAGGCCAGTCCCAAAGTACCGCCAGTGAAATCTCTGTAAAAGTAAAATTTATTTATTAATTATTATATGATATTATCTCCAATAACTAACCTGTAGGTAAACACATAGGCCAGGCAAAAGTCCGAGTGATCTTCCAGGGAATGGAGATTCAAGAAGTTCGAGACATCCATGTGCTCATTGCAAAAGGCATTGTGGGGGCCGTTATAGGAATTGCGACAAGCCGAATCGTCATCGATCTTAATTCGTTGCACCTAGCAAAAGTAAGCATATAAATTATTTAATTGAATGAAATAAAATGAAATTATTATAGTAAATATTTTGCGCCATATCTGAACTATTTATTATATCTACTGACATTTTTGTGTAATTAATGCAAAATATTTTCCAATCCAGAAATGTGAAAAACTGCTCCACATTTTACAATAATAATATTTTATAATTGCGGCTCAATTAACGCAATCAATTAGTCGCGAATGACAGGGGAATCTGTAATCGGGGGAACCCCAAATGTGCTTTAATATAGACTACACTAAAGTCCTGTCTACGCCTGGTTTAACCAGCTACCAAATGTCCGGTTGTGGTCGGGATTCTGTGAGGCGGGTCCTGGCCGCTTTGTCCGCTTTGTCCTTATCTCATCATCATTGTTTGTCCGCGTGGACTGCCCGCTGTGCGTGTGGGTGAGTGGGTGGGCCTGGGCGTTTGTGTACTCACCTCAAAGCGTATGTTGCGATGCTCGGTGCGTCCGTCGAACTTTGTGTTGCGGTAAATGTAATTAACGGCCGTCACGTGATGTGCAATCAGCGATGTGATTTCCTCGCGCGTTTTCTCGTCCACCTCGTACTTGCGCCCACGATCATGCTGTAAACAAGAAAAAAAAAACCAGGAACATTGAAAAGGTGTTGACAAAAAAAATTAAGTTTTTTCCGGTAGTCAACTTATTGAAAATTTAAATACCCTCAAATTTTCTTTTAATTTAATTTAATTTAATTTTGAAAACTTTTTGCAATCACATTACATTTTTAGAAATCCCAGAATTTCGAAAAATATTTCCTTTTTAGCCGTCAAGGTAGACAGATTTAATTAACGTAAAACCACTTGTGTTTTTAGGGGCTGGGGCAATAAAAATCTCAAAACCGCAATGCGTTGGAGAGCGAAAATGCGCCTGACATCTGTGTAAACGGGTCTGCCCACCAACCACGGCAGACAAACAAAAAGGTCCACTCCAAACGCCCCTTTCATCTGGAGCTCATCCAATCCAATCCATGCCAACTCCCACCCAGCAAACGCTCTTCAAATATATTTGTATAAAAATGCAAATTCAGCTAAGCCCGTCGAATATTTCAGCTGAAGTTTATAAGGTTTTATGCGCAGCACTCCCCAAACATCCGGGGATTCCGGCATCAGTCTTCCACCGATTTTGGCTCAAAAATCAAAATGCCGCGGGGCGCAAGAGACACAAAAACAAAGGAGAGCGAAAATGGAAGTAATACTCGAGACACCGAAGTTTACATGCTCTTCAAGTTATAAGAAAATTGTATACTTAATAGTTAGTAAACAAAAAGGTTACTATTTAATCATTAACTATATAAACAGAAAAAGTTATAATGAAAAATATAAAAAATTAATGAAATAGTTCATCAAAAAATATAAAAAAGAACAAGAAATGAGGGAAATATAATTTATTGTGTTTAGGTGTTCTATGCAATGCAAACGTCTAGTAAGTATGAGAATACCCTTTGCAGGGATTTAAAAACGTGAACAAAAATAAAAGCGCGATATAAGGAGAGAACCGGAGAACCGAAGAGTGAGCGAAACAAATGCGCGAATTATGCAAAACTCATTGCAAATAAACACACGTGAGGAAGAGAGAGATGGAGGCGAATGCGAAGACAAGGACGATGGCGTGGGCGGAAACGGAAATAAGGCTGGCACTCTGGTGACGAGGATGTTGACGTCGACATCATCTCGCGTACAATGCGAAAAAATGAACGTAAACATAAAAGTGCGGCGAAAGAATGGCTCTAAATGGGTGGATGGGTGGCGGTGTGCCTTACATGGTAGGTAGGTGTAGTGGGTGGTGGAGCACGGTTGCGGGCCATAACGGTTGATTGCATACGCTGTACGAGCCGAAGGAGGTCAGCTGATTGGATGATTGCTAAGCTCTGCAGATGCCCCGAAAAGTAGGCAATTCTGCGGATTGCGACAAAAAGGGTTCGGTTGAGTTTATAGAGCGTGAAAATTCGCTGAATAAGTAGGTAAACAAATTCATGATTGTACCGAACATTTGTCTTGAATTTGTGCTAAAAAACAATAAATATCATTGAAGTAATAAGGGTTTTTATTATGTTGCAACCAACTGAAATAATTGAAATAAAATATATTTTAACAAAAGAAAGAAAAAAAATTCAAAGGACCAAAATTTATAAAAGGAAATTCTTGTTTCCAAATAAAATATTTTGATTTTCTCGATTTCACAGGTATTTCACAAATTTCTACGAACCACTGAACCATGAGCCCCTGACAACAGAACCTTAAAATTATGGTGTAGGGCGCCAGACAATTTTTGTTTATCCATATCTTCTAAAATGAAAAGTACGTACAAAAAAAAAGAAAATGGAAAACAACTACGAAGTCTACGTGCCCCCTGATATTTCCATCCCAGAAACTTTGGGCCTCCTTTGTTTTATGTGCACTTCACTTTCATGAGAAGTCTACTGGCTCGTAAAAAATTGCAAAATTGATAATTTTTTCCCATTTTTTCCTTTTTTTTTAATTTGGCGCTCGTGCTTCTATGTTGTCAACACCACAGACATCACAAAATCTTCTTCTTTATACACAAAGCATAAATTGAGAGTAGTTCTTATGGAAACAAGTAAAATGAGGAATATGTAAAATTCAATGTAGTTTTCTTGTTTATATTCAAGGTCGAAAGTTTTCCATCAATATTTTTTATTGAAACATAATATTTGTGACCCCGTAGTAAGAGGTCAGAAAAACGTTCACGTTTATATTAAATAATGATGATTGAAAAATATCGAAAATATCGAGAAAACCGATGCTAGCATCGATAATTTTAAATTTTAATTTGAAAGTAATTATAGACCCAATATATATAGCTTTGTGGATACTTACGTCGGCAATGCCCTCGCGTATGTGGCGCCAAATCAATGGATCCGTTTGAATGTAGAGCGAACAGGTATTCTTGTTGTCCTCGCGACCGCGTCCAGATCCACCGGATGAGCCCCCGGCTCCACCTCCGCCTCCATTGTCGGTGGCCCGACGGACGCGCTCGTGGACGAGCTGATGCCAGTCGGCCACGTTGGCGGATGAGCCCAGACGACGTCCGGTCGAAGGATCGTAGAATGCACCCTCGGCGGCGAAGTTCGCCTCTTTCGTGTACTTCTGATGGGGGTACTTGAAGTCCTCATCGCCACTGATGTACTTCTTGGGCGGATGGGGCTGCTGTTGCTGCTGCTGCTGTGGGGCGGACTTTTTGTGCAGCTGCTTCCGGTGGAGCTTTTGGTAGTCCTTTGACATGGGCTCCGGCAGCTCTTCGACGGCTGAATTTTGTATGTTCTCCATCCATTCGGAGACCTCATCCGTGATGCCGCAGCCGGCCACGTGACCTGCAAGGGAAGAACAAAAGCGAAGAATGAATGAGGGAAGTAAGTTGGTTTGGAATAAAAAACAAGAGAGAACGCTATAGTCGGGTTGTTGTCCCGACTATCTAATACCCGTCACTCAGCTAAAGGGAGTGCGAACGCTGTGTGGGTTGGCGTCCCGACTAATAATCGTAACTCAGCTAAAGGGAGTGCGAGGGAGATAGATATATAATTTTTGATTGCGTATAACTTTTTAATGAATGGTCCGATTTGAAAAATGTCTTCTACATTTCGATAGGTATAAATATACACAACAAAATTGCATTTATACTTCTCGGAAATCTTTAAAGATGTGGGCGCAGGACCCATTTTAAAATCGTTAGTGGGCGATTGTGGGCGTTAGAGGGGGCGTGGCGCTCGGCTAAAATAAACTTGCGCTGCGTAGGAAGCCAAAGAATATGTGTGGGAAATCTCAACCTTCTAGCTTTTGTAGTTTCTGAGATCTCAGCGTTCATACAGACGGACAGACGGACAGACAGACAGACAGACAGACAGACAGACAGACAGACAGACAGACGGACAGACGGACATGGCTAGATCGACTCGGCTAGTGACCCTGATCAAGAATATATATACTTTATGGGGTCGGAAACGCTTCCTTCTAGCTGTTACATACTTTTGCACGAATCTAGTATACCCTTTTACTCTACGAGTAACGGGTATAAAAATGGAAAAAAAACAAGAGGCAGAATGAGGAATGTTAATTTGCTGATGCAGTCCGGCATTTGGGGCTTCCCTATCCTACCAATTTCAATGGGAAAATTATTTATGACCTACCAAGTGAAAGCCACAAAAATGTAATTAAAAGCAGCATCCCCATGCAGATGCGAAAAATGCGAATAAAAAATGTTTAATGCAAATGCCAAAGTCAAATGTTTAAGTAAGTAAATGAAAATGAAAAAGAGGAGCTTTGAAAAATCGCAGTGCGAAATGGAAAGGTGGGTCCTTCTCCTTTTTGGCGCCTGCTGCACTTTAAAAGCATATCAACAATTATATTTACAGCTTTTGCCAGGAGCTCCTGAAAGGAGCTTTGTCTTGGCCAGCGGAAACTGTTAATAGCCGCTAGCCGGTAATGAAAATTTATTGTTTTATTGTTTAAGCGCGCAGTCAGAGAAACGCAGCTCGGTCGGTCGGTCTGCTGCTGCTGCCTTTTATCCCCCAATTCGAGGACGCGTTTTGCACGCGATTCGCTCGCGTTTCTACCCCTCATCGCGATTGTCAACATTAAATAAACCAAAAAGGGGCAATGGGATGGGATGCAATGCAACAGGGCGGAAAAGGGAATAAAGTACTGCACCACAGAGTGGTGCACATTTTTAAAAGCTGCGAGAGTTTTATGGTCTCAGCCATTTACATTCATTTCCCGAATAATCTTCTGAGTTACGAGAGCTGGCCCAAATATCTGGGGCAATGAAATGATTGTTTAAGTTGAGCGAAAAATGGATAAAACTTAACAATTCTATCATAAAAGTAATTCTTTTTTTGGGAGTGCCATGGATATATTTTGTTAAATTAATTGTCAGATTGAATAGAAGATTTAATAAATACTTATATTACTTTTTTTTTGCATCAAGGGATAAGGGTCTATTTTTGGAACATATTTGGATTTCTTTGTGGTTTATTATTTTCATATATTTAAGGTTGTTTTTTTTTTATTATAATTATGTTCTCTGTAATAAGTAATAAGCCGTTGAACTTGTTCATTAAAAGAAGTAAGTTATTTTGGTAGCTCTAAGTTATTTTATCGCATTTAGGAGGGGAATTCAACTGTTGCAATATTGAAGACATTCTGCACTTTTCATTAAACATTATTTATGCCACCCCGGTTGGCTGCAACTCAAACACCTTCTCGGCATTCCACCAAGATCCTTTGAGAACCCTCTCAGCCAGCTCGAAAGTCATAACAAGGCAACAGGGTTCTGGTTCTGGCTTCCCACTTTGCCGGCACTCCTTTCCTGGCACTGGAATGCCAAAAGGATATTCATCCTGGCGCCAGGACGAGGACCGCTGTCCAGTCCAGTCAGCCAGGCAGCTCCACTCCCAGTGGCAACGTTGCAGCTTTCAGTGGAGCTATAAATTTTTATTTGGCTGATGCTATTGTGTCAAGTAAGCGGGGGCGGCATGAAGTTCGTGGTGAAGTTCTGTTGGTTCTGTTGCTGTTGCCGTGCCATTACCATTATGCATTTGCTTATTCTTCTTCCATTTCTTCGCGCTCGCTTTTTATTTGCCCATTCCCAAACTGTTTGTCTTTATTACAAGCATTTTGGCAGCGTTGTCGCTCTTCAGTGCAGAATGGCAACGTAGCCAAGCACGCGACCTACGCCAAATTTGATACACTTTAAAAAAAACTATTTTTTTTAAGCCAGAAATATAGGACCAAAACCGTAATTCACAAGAAAAAAAATTTCCCAACTTAAAATTTAATAGAAACACAGCAAAATATAAAACTAAACAAGTTTTTAAATTATTCCCATTATTCATTGGTGAAATTAATTAAATTCGGGACTCCATTTTTATGAATATGAATGAAATTATTAATTTGGTATTGAATCCATCCATTCAATTATGAAAAATAAAAAAATCTTTATTTAAAAATTAAAATATTATTATATAGTATTTTCTTTTAAAATTTTCACGAGTGGAGCGGGCTGTGGGAGCAGGTGGAATGTTTCTCCAGGAAAAGCCGTGCCCATAGTCATAGGAGGGAGCCACTAAATACGTAAACCCTCGAGAAGCCAGCAAAGCCGCAGCAGGCACAGCTTCCGTAAATGCCCCGCTCTCCTCGTGGAAGGCCCAGGAAAATCCACAGTGGCATGCAATTTGCATATCAAAGGCAACCCCTCGAGTACGCTCCCTGCTCCCTGCTACATTCTACATTCTACGCTCTACATACAAAAACACATATATATCCTATCCCTCGCAATGTTTTATTTTGTTGCATGCCGCTTCTTACTCCAATGACCCGTTTTTATTTCATTTTGCTGCATCGCCTTCTGCTTGAATTTTCTTTTCCTTTTTTTTCCACTTTCAGGGCAGCTAGCTTTATTGTTGCTGCCGCTCTTATGAGTTTTCGAGTGTACGAAGAAGGAGGCTGCTGGATGCATTCAATCGGTATCTGATGTTGCCAGGCCAACCCCAAGATGTTGTCTGATTTTCGGTTTTTATGTCATGCTAAAGCCAGCTAGCTCGCTTTGACCGACCGATCCACCCCTTCAACCCCAACCCAACTTCGCCATCTACCGCCTCCATCGCCTTTTTTCCCCATTTCAATCAACAGCTGTTGAGTCGCCATCGCCAGCGTAATAGAGCGCGCGTCTCCTCCTGCACATTTCATTTTTCCAATTTCTCCGTGCCACTCAACGGCTGCTTTTTGCCTTCTGCCCTTTTTCCCACCACGCCTTGCTCCTTTGCCCAACGACAACTCCTTTTTTTACAGGCAGAGAAAATCTCCCACATCGGGATTAGCAATTAGAAGGATTTACAAAAAGAAAAGACAGAGTTTTTTAAAAGAAAAATGCAAATTATGGCTAAAAGATATTTGTTTTTTTTTAATTTTTAAGGCAATAAATCAGTCTATAATTTTGAGGACCGTAGTAGGATTTACCTAGAAATTTTAATAATTTTGTTTTTTTTAACTACAATGAGTGGCGATTTTAAAGATGGTGTACAATTTTCTCGAAATAAATAGAATTTATATCCTAGTCTGCTATCCAATTTAAACTAAATAAAAAGTATCTTAAAATATTGCTAGCCAGCATTCTTTAAGGGGAGATTTAAATTATAACAGAATCGAGGAAATTTTGAAGCAGACATCGAGTCAATACTATAATCTCTAAAGATTATGAAATTAATAGAAAAGAATATCAAGAAAATTAAATTATAAATAATTCTTAAAAACCACGTCAAGAGTGAAATTTATTGAATTTCTGAGTGCACTCGACACTGGCTTCATTTGCTGTCACACATTCCTTGTGGAGCCGCTGGCAAATCTTTTTGCCACCTCCACCATCCACTCACACCCCCTTGGGGCGACACTTCAATCATATTTCGCTTTAGCTTTGACTGCATCGCCCGGCGACTCGTCGAGATTGCTGCACAAAGATTAAAGTGCACTTTTGTGTTATCTTTTTACTGGAGTTCAGATCGACGCTTGCACTTGTATACAAGATTTCGCACTGCTTCTTCGATGTTTTACGTGTTTTTTTTCTCGTAGCATTTTATTTTATTTATTTTGTATTTTTTGTGTCCTTTTTCTTGTTGCGCCAATTGAACAAAAGCCACGCGCGCGCTCGCTCGACTTATGAATTTTACAACTTCCGCTGCTGCCTTCAGTCGAGCTCAGGCCAGCTTGGGTTTTGTCGTCCTGGCAGCCTTACAAAAAAAAAAAGAAAAATAATATGGAAGGTTCTAGTAGAGTGGCAAAACTATAAGATACCCTGGATTTCATTTAAATAAGCACTTACACTAAATTCCCGATTGATGTTAATCAACATTAGAAAATATTGCTTGATTTTCACCTTGAACATTTTCCGCAAAGTTTTTCTAAGACACAATTTAATTTATTTATAAACGCTCCGATCTTACAATTTAGAGTATATATGTATCATTTTTATTCCCAACGAGGATCATAAAATTCTAAAACTGTTTGCGATCACAAATACCCCAATACTCTTCGAATAGTGGGTATAAGAAATAGAGATGGAGCTGGAAAAATTCAGCTTGAGTCGGAGACAAACGACGTTCAGACATGCAAGCGGCTTTCGTAGCAGGGCTTTTGCGTCCAACTTCCTCACTTGATCCTTCTTGCCACTCCCCCATCAAACCCTCCCCGCCCACTTTCGTCTCCCAATTACGAGCATGGTCCCATTCAAGCCACTTGTGGCCTTTGCTTCCTGTGCAAGTGTGTGTGAGATGCACAAGCAAAAATGAAAAATAATCCCAAATTCAATTGCAAATGAAATTGA